TTTATTTTTTTTTTTATATATATATATATATATATATATATATATAAATTTCAAAGTTGTTTTACCATGCAATATATATGAAGAAATTGAAGCAGTTTTAACTATTTCCTTTTTTGCAAAAGCCTGCTGAGCTGACAGCACCATTGTTAAGTGTGACTCCAGCACCAGTCCCGCTAAAGAAGCCTCTTATCAGGTAGACAATAAGTCTATTAGATATAAACTTATAAACGCTGTTGAGAGTTTCTCTACGGGAAAGTACTATTTATTTTCAGTAGAGAAACTCTTAAAACGCTTATAGTTTGTATGCAAACAGGCTTAATATCAATTATTAATATTGTACTTGTCATGGTTTCCATATTCCCACTTGTACTTGAAACTTATTTTGGACTTTTGGTTGTGTTTAATTCTGTTTGTTGACTCCTTATTTTCAGGTTGAACTTCACCTCCCTAGGAAAAGCTGCTGACAAAAGTTCTTAGACACTTCAAAACTTGAGTCGCAGCTAGCTGATAACAAGGTTGTAAAATGGACATTTCTAGTACCTTGTTTATTTATGTAATAATTATGATGCAGAAATAAACCTGAGCTAAAAAAGCCATCAATTTTCATTGATATGTACATGAGAATATGTTTCACCGGCAAAATAAAACCAGATTTTGATGAGTTATGTGTAGTCTGTTAACATAAAGTTAAGGGAAATGTTTCTTGCATATTAGCAGCTAAACTATTAGCATTTACTGAAGATTTATTATTGATCAATTATTCTTATGTTTAAATACATTTTTGGTCCATATAGATTGTCTCAACCTTGATATTGGTTCATATATTTTTAAAGTTCGGCTTTTGGTCCTTGTAGTTTTATTACTAGTTTAGGTTTTGATCCTTGCAAGTATATTTTGTTTTAATATTTTTGTTCTATTTAGGTATCAATGTTGTGTTAGTGAGACAAGACCATTGTAATATTTTTGTTAGGTTTCAATAATATACCAAAAATTAGTCCAAATGATTATATGACAGAACATGTGGTGGCATATTGTTGATAATCAGAACTAGAATTTATTTTCAAAATTATTAGGTGAGGGATTAAAATCAAAATTGAAGCAAGTTATAGAAATAAAAATGCATTTCAACCTTTTTTTTTATAAATATCTACGCAAGCTAATTATTAGCCGTTTATCATTAGTCAATTTACAGAAATAGCCAACATAGTATTAGTGAGGAATGTGTATGAGAACTCTTCTATGCAAATAATTCGACTTAAATTTTATTAAATAATTAAATAATAACACGATTCAAATTTAGCATCAGGCTTTGTACTCTGGTGAAGTGATCTATTACTTGAGGTAGCCAATTGGGCTCGATAGGATGGCCCGGTTCGAATAGTCCATAAATAAGTTTGTGTCAGGCTCTTAGAATTTAGGTCCAAGATGTTGGGCCAATTTGGTATGACTTGATGGGCCAGTCAGACTCATTAAATGTCAGCCGAAACATATAGGCCTAACTTTGGCCAATATTTTCTTTTAAGTTTTTTTCGTATGAAATTTATATAAATTTATGTGAAAAAAAAATTTAGCTTGCTAGCAAATTTATATGGCATAAAAATTTTGGTTAGTTGGACCTGCTTTCGTGCCTTGGCATTTGCCACATCTACTACAACTTAACCCTTTGGTGAAATTCTGAAATATGAGTTTGTCATATGAAACAAAAAGGAAGAGGATGATAACAACTATTTATTCACCAAAATATGAATAAATAACAAGTACCATTTAGGTTATGTTTGATTTGTTTGGTGTGGTTAAGAATGAGATCTGGTCTCTAGATTAGGTTGATTGGCATCGCAACAATTGCTAGAACCAATGTTGCCCATACGAATTGAAAGATTGACTCCGACAGCAACTGGAGGAGTGGCGGTGGTCGTGGTGGCTGCCAAAGGAGCTATGGAAAGATTATTGAGACAATAGGATTATTCTAACCATGATCTTTATGCAATTTACTTAAATACGTTTTTAATCTCTTAAATTTAAAGTAAATTTATTTTTAATTTTTGTAATTTTAAAAATTTATTTTAATTTTTACTCTAATTTTGTGAAAAAATTTGTTAAATACTGTCACATAAAATGTACTTAATAATATTTTTATTAATGAAAATATTACATTAAACCTAGTTAATAGTGCATAACTATCTTAATATATTACTTTTAAATATATTATTAGTGAGAGGCTAAAACAAAATTTTTAAAACTAAAAATAACAATTTTCAATTTGAGGAACAAAAATAAATTTATCCTAAATTTTTGAAAGAATAAAAAATATTTAAGTCAATGCAATTTATCATAAACAACTTATAAATGTTATCTACAGTAGCATTTTATTTTAATAATTAATATTTTCTCATGTACTCTACAATAAATAGTTGATAATTTAAAAAATATATTTATTATTTTCTTACTATCGTAAAATGACAATAAAAAATAAATAACTTTTTTTCTTTCTAATACGTTAAACAAAATTGAATGGTAGGAATAGTTATTTTAATTTAGTTTCTCTAATTGAAAAATAAAAAAAAACACCCTCTCTAGTTAATATAATTTTTTGAAATATTCTCTACTATCGATTAAAAATTATAAAAAAAAGTGTAAAATTCACTTTATTGACGAGGCTCACTCATGAATTTTTAATTTTTAATAAAATTTAAGTAATAATTAAAAATACATTTAAAATAGCATATTAAAAAGTGTAAATTATAAGTATTTTTTTTAATTAATGTGTCGAAACTAAGCACTTCATTTCAGAACATTTTCTTTTGCACCCTAGAAGATAGTATAAAGAATAATATATGTGGGTGAATGGTTGAGGAGGTAATAATTTGATTGGAGAAGAGCCAAAACCCTTTTTTACTTTTGTTTGATTGGCTTCAATATTAATCACCATGTCAATGTGTAATGGGGCCAAGCGATGTTAAACCAGTAGAATCCTGTACCATTGCCAATTTCCATGGTTGTTAGGGAAAATAAAGTCTATATATGCCAATTGTATATTCCAAATATTAGATACCCTTACCATCATATCATCATAACTTGCCATATTGCACAGTGACTTCTGTGTCCTTGTTATGAAACTTGATCAAACGTCAATTTATCTCTTAAGTTTTTTCTTGCCCTAGAATATGGTTGACACATAAAATATGTCAAACCAGAAAAATGCACCAAAGTTTCAAACTTTGATTCTTCATTGATTAGAGATAAAATCATAATAACTTATATAATTAAGTGAAAAATAACTTTTTTTTACAAGTTATTTTTGTATAATTAAATTATGTCCAAATTTACTATTTTAAGATAGTATAAGTTTATATTCTATTAATTATCGGTAGTTGCTAGATCTATCATGTCATCTATTTTTGAATCACTTTTAAATGTTCAATCTTACAAATTTCATGTTTGAGATGTCCAGTTCTTGACATGAGAAAGGTATGTTGGAGATATCACATCATCTAAAAATAAGGTCATAAAAGAATAGTGTATATAAGTGAAGAACAACTATCACCTAACAAATTGATTTTGTAAGACCGAGTTAAATTTCAAACAACTTTTTTAAGAGTTTATTTAACAATAATTTTTCTTATCAAAATCAGTACTACTAGAAAAGTTAGTTATTATATATATATATATATATATTAACTTTAGAGAGAGAGAGAGAGAGAGAGAGAGAGAGAGAGAGAGAGAGAGAGAGAGAGAGAGAGAGAGAGAGAGAGAGAGAGAGAGAGAGAGAGAGAGAGAGAGAGAGAGAGAGAGAGAGAGAGAGAGAGAGAGAGAAGAGATCCTTTTACTCTAGAAGTAAGTCTGCTTAGACTTACTCTGTTCAATAACTCATGTCTACATCAAATTTCAACAATCCAACCGTTCAATTTAAAAATTTTAATGCATAGATCAAATCTGCAAATTTTTAGAAAATTTAAAAATTATTTGATACTTCATTTCATTAACTCAAATTGACGGGTAATCATAAAATTATTTTATACATTGATTCGAATTAATGAAACAAAGTATAAAATGATTTTTAAATTTTTTAAAAATTTACAGATTTGATGTATACATTAAGAACTTTAAATTAAATGATTGGATCGTTAAAATTTGATGTAGACTTACTCTTGGAGTAAAATGATCTCTCTCATATATATACATACATATATATATATATATATATATATATATAATTATTTTGTATATTCTCTACTAATCTTCTCACTATTTTTTTTAAATAAACCCAAATCCTTATCCAGAAATATTTTACTTTAGATAAAGTTATGTTCCTATTTAAATCTGTATTTAGTTGTTAAATCGTTTCACTTGAATCAATTAATTTAAACCATACAAGGTAATAGAATGAATTTCTTTGATATAATTGAGTACAATACATATTTAATCAATGACACATTTAATGCAAATTAGTATTTTGTTCATTTTGTTTTTGTGTTTTAGAGGCAAACCCTTTATAGGCAGAATATAAGTACCCAATAATAAACACCGGAGCAAATATATTAGGGAGAATTTCAACTCACATCTTTTATTTATTTTTGGCAAATTATTATCGTATATATTATACAACAACAACAATAATACCTCGGGATCGATAAATTTTTAGTAATTGTTTGCAACAGCTTTATTGAAAATTCTAAAGACTAAATACGTACTATGTGCTTTGGCGTAAGTCAAGATTCCACCATTGGTGATCTTAATTAATTTTAAGACATGAGGTTAAGTTTCATCCCTTAATATTTTCAACACCAAATTCCTTGACTATTCTTTTGTTAGATTTGATGCTACTCTTCACTCTATTTGGAATAAAATATTTAACATAATAAAACCCTTAATTATGCGCCTATGTTGCTCGTGGTTTATGTGGCATGTAACATGGCAAGAAATACTATTTTAAGAGATTAATATTTCAGCCGTTAAAGTGATAAAATTGGTCACTTGATAAATTAATTAATACAAAAGAATAAATGTTAAATATAGTCATATATATACAAAATATATTATTATAGGTAAAAAAAAATATATAAATATAAATCTATTTGACTATATATAATTTTAATATTGATTTTAAATAAGATTTAATAATATTAAACAGAAAGACAATATTAAACTTTTAAAAAAATTAAAAGACAAAATTAAATTATTTAAACACAGTGAGATTAAATTAAAAATTTAAAAAAAATAGAGACAAATAAAGGACGCTTCCACACTAAATTAGTCTCTAAATTGGGCCATTTTAAACATTCAGACAAGTCAACTATTAAAATGTTTTAACAATAGTTTTGAATTTTAGTTTGGTAACATTCTAAAATTTTTGCAACGTTAATTAATAGGAAATAAATAACATTGTTCTCGTTTAAATATTTGCTTATTAAAAAGTTATATTGTGTCTATGTGTCATTAATCATTATGACAACTTTTTAATAGTAATAACTAGATTAGTGACTAATTTTAGATGTTCTCTAAATCATTGCTTATTTAATCGATTTTTTGAAACTAAAATAGTGATTTGGATATTAATTTAGTGATGTAGTGAAGGGGCTCCTAATATATGTATAACTTAAGCTTTGCTTTGTTGTGGAAATCTTCTCAAAGGTGATGGGAATAATATGGTTGCATCACATACTGATGAACCATGCTAAAAAAAGTTCTTAATTAGACTAAAAATTAGAAGTGATGAACTTAATTTAAGAGAAATGCTTTC